CTCGTAGCAGGCCCTGACCCCCAACCCACCTCCCTAGTAGGATCCTGACCCCCGCCCACCTGTCGTAGGAGGCGTTCAGCTCCTCGAGGCTCCTCTTCAGCACGGGGCTGTCGCCGACCTTCTCCATCTCGGCCGCCTTGCGGTTGATGTTGTTCACTTGTTCGCCGAGCGACGCCACCTCGCCCTCCGTCAGCTTGTGCTTCTGCAGCAGGTCCTCCACAGCCATCAGCTGCTTGCCGAAGTCCTTCGACTGCACGTTGGCCTGCGATGCAGATCAACGTCGCGAGATCAAACATGGTTCATACAGGACGAGTCGAATATATTGCAAGGATTGTTGAAGGACTTTTCCACGACATTCTATGTGAAATGAAACGAGATGTTAGCGGGCATTTTACCGAAGTCCTTCGACTGCACGTTGGCCTGCGATGCAGATCAACGTCGCGAGATCAAACATGGTTCATACAGGAGGACTGAAAATTTTTTCAAGGACTTTTCAAAGACTTTTCAAGGATATTTTATCGGAAATTCAAGGACATTTTATCGGACATTTTATCCGACATTTTATTGGACATTTTATCGGACATTTTACGGAAGTCCTTCGACTGCACGTTGGCCTGCGATGCAGATCAAATGTCGCGAGATGAAAAGACATGCTGGGCATACCACGCATAGGCAAAGAGATGCAATGGAGCAGCAGAGGTAGAAATTAACTTTTGATCCCTCAAAAATAGGGAGTCCGGGGCAAAATGAAGAAGTCTGCAGTCTGAAGTTCAAAACTAAAGATATTAACAATAATGCATGAGCTTATTTTAATCCTTGACATTTGTTGAAAAATACGGTAATTCCGCGAGGCCTGCGATGCAGATCAACGTCGCTGATGCAGATGCAGATGAAAAGACGTGCTAGGCATACCACGCCAGGGTATTAGCCAGGAATGAGTATTTTGGGAGTGCAGAAAAAATATTTGGGAGTGCAATTTTTTGGTGTGTCTCAGCCAAGACCGCCGTACGCGTTCACGGGGAGAGTATGAGAGGGGGGTGTCCCACAGAAAATCTTGACATTTTTATAACATTAAAAAAAAATTTTTTTTGGCCGTGCAGTTTCAAAACTGACCATGCAAATCACGGCTGCACGGCTCGCTGGCTAATACGTTGTACCGCGCATAGGCAAAGAGATGCAATGGAGTAGGGTGGCGAAGGCCGGGGATATGGGACGGCGCGGCGCGTGTGCGAGAGGGTAGGGTGTCGTTAGTCAAAGTAGCGAGATCGAAAACACACGCCGCGCTTAAATTGGCCGGGGTCGAATCTGGCAATCGGGGGTCGAATCGGCAGGGGACTGCACATTGACCTGCGATACAGCACGGCGCGCGAGAGACATAACGCTGTCGTCAGTCAACACGGTGAAATTAAAAGAAGCACTGCGCGTAGGGCGTGTATGGTAAGAGATGCGATGGAGTAGGGGTGGTGAGGGGTTCATTCAGATTAGCAGGGGTCGAATCTGGCTAACAGGGGATCGAAATTCAGTTCAGGGTGGCAAGCGGTAGAGCCCCCACCCCCCAGAGACACCCTATGAGCTAACTGGCTGTGCTGCGAGGGCAGTTGAGCTCGTGGCCTCTTGCTGGCTGCCTGCGTTAAGCCGGTGGGCGGGGCGGCGGTTAGCCAAGATTCCGTACCTCCAAGTGCTTCATGTCGATCTGCAGGCTCTCCACATCTCTCAGTACACCCATCAGAGTAGACGCACTCTGCAGCGTATGCTTCCTCTGTTTTAGCTTATCTAGCAGTGTGTTCCAGTCCGTGCTGATCTGCTCTTGCCTGCAAACACAGTAGGGCCATAATAAAAATATTGTTTGTTTGCCCTCACCCGACCGGCACGCCAAAAAGGGGCCGACTCAAACAATTTTATTGATCTTCTTTCTTTTTTTTACAAATTGTATCACTGTACATTTATCTGTAGGCAATACATTATATGTACCAAGCAAAACAAACATTCAACATAAAATGTATCGCCACACAAGAACACCCAAGCATGTAGACACCATGCTGAATATGTAAAAAGACCTCCGTCAAAAAAAAGCCTACCTACCTACCCAAACTTTTCAGCCTGGGTTGGGTGAGGACAAACAATGATTTTTTTAATTGTGGCCTAAGGAGAGATGCGTCAGCAGCCAACCACACACCAACAGATCTGTGACCGTTGTTACTTACACCAACCACCAAGGAATTATTAGATTTCACCCACCAAAGAATTATTCTTTTAATTACAATAGCCGATGTTTATTTCAATTATAATGTGATAAGCATAACTAACTAACAAGGATAATTAAGGAAAATTTAATGCTTGTAGTTTTTCAATGATGAGATGAGGGGTGCCAATAATACATTTACTTGCTGCGAAAACGTGTTACTTACTTCAACTTGATTTTGTCCGAGCCATGAAAGTTAGCCTGAATCAGTTCTTTGGCCATATTTGTAAGAAGGTGGAATCGATCTTTCTGTAAAATATATATATACGTTCAAAGAAAAATTATTACACCAATAAAGTTCACACTAGTAAGATGCATAGTGTTTTGGTAAGCAGAAGTATATTCACTAAGTGGATAAACAAGTGAAATTTTACACTACCCTTCAACATCAACTTGTCAATCATCCAATATAATCATCATTCACTCATTCAATCATTCAATCATCAATCATAATCAATCAATCATAGCCAATATATATAGCCAATTATCACAGATCCTGTCTCTAAATGTGTTTTCAATGCCGAGTGTACACCCGCCTGACAACATTAGAGATTAAGTGAAGATCATAATCACATCACGTGTCTTACAAGAATCTCAGAGAGGCGTCTGCTTACCCTGGCAAGCACCTCCGTTGTGATGGTTTCGTGACGCTTGGCGGCTAGTTCCACCTGGCTCGCGCTGGTACCTATGTTCATGTCGTCCAACACCAGGTTCATGTCCTGTAGCCAGCTCTCACGCAAGCCAGCCTTGCGCTCAAACTTCTCGGCCAGCTGCTCCAAGCGCTCTTGCCTGTAGTGCCAAAGCATAATTTGTTGAATATTATCTTAATTGATTAATTATTATTTTAATGAATATCATAATCGTTGCACCACCTGCAAGTAGGTCTTCCTGGACACCAAAACTATCTGCCCCAACTTTTTTCGATTCTATCTTGTCGGCCCCATATCTTTTTCTATTCTATCTGTCTGCCCCAGCCTTTTTCTGTTCTATCTGTCTGCCCTAGCCTTTTTCTATTCTATCTGTCAGCTGCAACCTTTTTCTATTCTACCTGTCTGCCCCAACCTTTTTCTATTCTACTTGTCTACCCCAACCTTTTTCTATTCTATCTGTCTGCCCCAGCCTTTTTCTATTCTATCTGTCTGCCCCAGCCTTTTTCTATTCTATCTGTCTGCCCCAACCTTTTTCTATCCAATCTGTCTGCCGCAACCTTTTTCTATTCTATGTGTCTGCCCCAAAATTAAGCCACCGTGTCTCTACCCCCAACTTTCTTTCATCCTATCAGTCTACCCAACGTTTACGCGCTTTATCTGTGACATCTGCCAGCTTGGCTCTTCCTTATCACCTCCTGATCTTCTTCTTCTTCTCACCTCTGCACCAAAATTGACTGATCTAACCTTTTTCTGTTCTATCTGTCTGCTCCAAACTGGAGTCATCGTGTCTCTGCCCCCAACTTTCTTTCATCATAGCCTACTTCCCTTTTTTCCTTCCTCTTTCCTCCCCTTTTATTCATCAGTCTACCCAACGCTTACGCGCTTTGTCTGTTTCGCCGCATCAGTTCGGCTCTTCTTTATCATCTCCCGATCTCCTCTTCCTTCTCACCTTTGCAGCTCCTCCCTTAGTGCGAGCTCGCGGGCGTGCTCAGCCTTCTCCAGCTCCTCCCACGCCCTCTCGATGTCGCTCACGAGCATCCTCTCCGGCGGCATATACGGCTTCCTTCCCTCCGACTTCAGCTTCGTCTGCAGGTTGAAGAGATTCACCTCGAGGTCTCCCTTCTGCTTGAATCTGCAACGAATCGTCAGTCGTTTGCCAAGGTGTCGACGAGTAAGTTCCAAACTGATTTTCATTAGGGGGGCTTAATCGCAGAAGCTTGATTATAGCAAGCAAAACTGTTTTTCCATATCAAAGTGAAGTCAGTCTTTGAAAAATCAGTTTTCAATACCCACCCTGTCCTGATTTTAAACCCATAGGAAAATTTACGAAAAGAAGTAGCTGATCCTGCCCAAAAGTTACGAGTCCTGGACGGAGGGATGGGCTGATGTTTTCAACACCGATTTCCACATCCCTCATCCCTGCACAACGCGATCAAAATCAAAATCGTTAACTAAATCAGAAGTAATAGAGCCTGTGCGATAGAAGCACAGAACCCCGCGCCACAGTGGAACTCACTTTGGTGGTTTCTCTACGGTTCTGTACTCCTTGAAGGCGACAAGCTCCTGCTGGATGCCTTCCATGCTGTTGGGGAAGCGTCTATCGTTAAGCAGAGCCACCTTCTGCTGAACCCAGAGGATGAGGTCTGAGCTCATTTTCTCGTAGTCATCCTTCTGTTTGTCACACTCCATCATGAACTTGACAATCTGCGGAGGACGCACAGCAACGGTTAGCTATGTAGTAAGAAAGTTAAAGACGAGGGGGGAGGGGGGCAATGACAGTGTTTACGGTTGTTACGCGCGGAGGGATATTCGCGTGGTGATTGTCCGGTGATCGGCGTGTCCGGCCAGGATTGGCCAGTAGCGCTAAGCATGTATGCGATTGGCGAGTGGGGGGCATGCGGAGATCAGAAAAGTTCAGGGAACAAGTTTTGCGCTCTCCTGCGAGTGACACCGGCTGAGTGTGGACGCGTGTCGGAAACGAAGAGAGATTTACACGCAGTGTTAGCGTGGCAGCGGTGCGGGCCGAAAACGAAGAGGTTTACACGCAGTGTTAGCGTGGCAGCGGTGCGGGCCGAAAACGAAGAGAGACATACACGCAGTGCTAATGGGGCGACAGTGCGTGTGGAAAACTGTCGTGTGATGTGCACAGTGAGATTCAGTACGATAACAGTATGATGACAGTAAGATGTGCACGGGACGTCAGCGAACTGAGTAAGATATGCACGGGGTGTCAACGCGGCAGCAGCAAGCTTTGCGGGGTAATGGCGTAGGCATAGGGAGGAAGAAGAAAGGAGACAGGCAAACGGGAAGCGAGGGAAAAGAAGACAGGCCGACGGGAAGTGAGGCGAGGCGGCGGAAGCTGATAGTATGTATGCTGGCAAGGGTATAATTCATTTGTGAAGGTGGCCACCTATCGTACACAATTTATGTTAATGTATCACAGAATTACTGTAATTGGCAATAGATTGATATAGATGTTTGTGGTAGTTATATATATATGTTTATGTATTTGATTTGTTTGTGTGTCAATGCTTTGGGTGCGGACGCGTTGGCACAGTAATGGCGCAGGTGAGTGCTTTACATACAGCGCGAACCCGTATCGTAACAACGGTACGATTTACTTGAGCGAGCGATTTTGTGCACGAGTTTTTAAAATTAGTGGCAATTTGAAACGATAAGATGGCGATTTGAAATGCTAACGCATGAAAACGTACTCGCAATGTGTGCATTTAGCTCAAACATTATTTACTGTTAGTCATCATGACAGCATTTATTTGAAGAATGTCGTTTCAATCGAAATAACCTGGAATTTGATCACAGAGCGAGTTACTGCTATATTGTATTTACTACTAAATTGTTGTGCTGTTGTGGGAAATATTAGTGCACAGATTCACCTAAATATTTGTTTTTTTTAAATAAATATCTTCAGGGCAGCATTGTCGCACACATGCATGCTAGCTTACCTTTGCGATTCGTCTGCCGCTGGTTGCCTCATCTCTCAGCTTGGCGAAAGTGTGATAGTACGAGGCAACATAGGTCATGATAGACTTCTCGTCAGGCCGCTTAACGTCCACATCTAAACATAAGGGGAGAGTTGCTATATACTATAAAGGCTTCAATGACATGATATGTCATTCTATTCTGCAGCAAGCAGACAAACACGTTACACCAACTCTCACAAGGCTCATGTGACATAATGGCCTGTATGACATGATATCGAGAGCTAATAATACCTAATTATTCTGAGCTAATTATTGTAAGTTAATTATTAGCTCTTGATGATATCTCGTTCTATTCTTCAGCAAGCAGGCAAGCATGTTACACCAACTCTCACAAGGCACATGTCACAAGATTATAATGAGACAAACGTTGTTAACTGACTCCCTGGTGCCACAAGTTCTAATCTAGAGCCGATAAATTGGGGACGAGGAAAAGTGGTTTTATACCATAAAAGTCTCTACGACACACGATATGTCATTCCATTCTGCAGCAAGCAAGCAAGCACGTTACACCAACTGTTACAAGGAACATGTCACGAGATTGTGAAATTTGATACTATTAAATATATAAATTTGTTATACTAGAATTACTATAAATATATACTAAAAATTAGATTTTTGATCGTGTGAAACAAACGAACGTTGTTAACTGACTCTGGTCCAACAAGTTCTAGAACCAACAACATGAGGTAGATACTGACAAAAAAAAAACATTATTACGTAATTATCAAAACAAATATGAAGTGTGAACTCTCTTACCCTCGGCATCAAGCAGTCTGGGAATACCCAGTTCCTTTTCACCGATGTCGAACGCCTGGTTCAAATTGTGAATGTGCTCATCTGGGTTGAGCCTTTCATATGCGATCAGGTCGGGTCTAGAATAGAAAGTTCCGGAACATACATCTGTCAACTTTCCCATTCTAGCTAATTTCGTGCAGGTTTAGAAACGATGCCCGATATATTACACAATAGAAGCGGTGGAGCAATGATAATTATCTTGCTAATTAGCGCTCATGACGACTATGCATCTACCAGTGCGTGTTTTACACAAGCTTAAAAAAAGGAATTTACTAAATTGAAATTTTCATAACACTAACATATTCAGACAAAATTCGATTCCAGATAAACAGATCGACATTGATATTTATGAATAAAAAAAAGCAGAATATTTAAGCCGTACTAAGAATATGTCTGAGCCAAACTGAGCCAAGCTGTCACCAAACTTTAATAAACCATTACATGCATGTTTGAATATGTTGTCGGTTTACCTGTGAGCATGAATAAGGGCATTGAAACCCATTCCATCCCGCCAGCTGCCGCTGAAGTTTGTAATCTCGCAGTTCTTGTGACTGGAATGATGAACACATGATAAGTTCTCATTATACAGTATGTAAAACCGTGTGTGGCCGTTGGCAATCACCCAGTCCCCTGTATATAGTCACCTATCCAACACTAATAGAGAAAAACTGGTCCGCGTACATAATTTATTCCAGTACAGGTGCAGAAGAACTTAGCCATGTAGACTAAACACATTTTACAGCCTGTGTTACAAACGCACAAGTTGAAATTTAATTCTTATTAAAGTTTTATTAATTTATTTATTAGCATTTAACTTAAATGCTACCCCGATCCACTTGACTATCACATTCATTTTAGCCAGGTTACTCCATTACTTTATATGACGGTAGAAAGAATGGAGAAATCAGAAAGAGGTTTTGAGAAAGAGATGGGAAGAATTTGGTAAAATGTGGAGTGGGCAACTGTACGTGAGCAGAGTGAAAGGAGGATAACAGCCATGAAGTGTGGGGAAATATAGCACCGAGAGGGAGTGAAAGAAAGGAATGGGAATATCAGACATCACAAAAACTCGTTGTTCTCAAGCTAAATAGAAACTGTGCTAATCGTACAATGCCAACAAACACAAATTTCACTAAAACCATGCTTTCATGCACCATGATCTCCTTACTCCGAGTGCAAACACACTTTGGCCAATTAATAATTAAGTGGCAATTAATCTATTAGGCAATTTTTTCTTTCACTGCTTCGTTAATTCGTTGAGGAATTGCGCGCACCAACGACAAGATCTAGACTACTGCCGAGCACGCTCTTCTGTTGACGCCTCCGGGGTTTGCAAAATCTGAAAACAAGGTATTAGCTCGGCTCATCGCGAAGCCATTCGATTTCCGTCAGCAATTAGAAAACAGCGTGAGCAAAGTACGTCGTTGCCTGCGAGAGGCATGCGCTCGCGCATCCACAGCTCTGCGTCCTCCACGTCGTTGTAGAACTGCGAAAATGATCGAGCGAGAACATGGTTCGTACAAGACTGACTTTCAAGGACTTTTCAAGGACATTTTATCGGCCGTATGTAAAATGAACGCGAGTGGTAGTCGCTCGCCGGCCCACAATACGTAAAATTTTATATTACGTGTTGTCAACAGCAAAAAAAACAAAAACAACAATGAAAAAACACAATTTTTATTGAGGTTTGCACATTATTGATGGCACAAAATTTCTTTTTATTACAGGCAAGGACTCTTTCAAAAAATGCAAGGACATTTTCATGAAATTCAAGGACTTTTCAAGAACTGTGCGAACCATGGAGAAATGAGGATTGTCGCGTGAGATTATAGTGCATGAACGGTGCCGGTTTCAGACAGGTGTGATTTCGAGGACGGCGGGACAGCATCAGCGAAGGTTGCATCAGGTCATCATCAAGTTAACTAGTGTTAGGTTAACAAAGGTGTGACGTTTCTGTACTTACATACTTACATATCCCACTGCAGCCTCCTCTTCTTCATCGTCACCTCTCCTATGATAACACTAACCCCTTCACATCCCCTATTCCTGACCACCTTCTTTACCACCGATTCCACATCCTCCTCTCTTCATCGTCACCTCTCTGATGATGAACACTAACCCCGTGCACATCCCCCTATCCTGACCACCTTCTGTACCACCGGATTCCACATCCCCCTCTTTCTTCATCGTCACCTCTCTATGATGAACACTAACCGCCTGCCACATCCCCCTTATCCTGACCACCTTCTGTACCAACGATTCCACATCCCCCTCTTCTTCATCGTCACCTCTCCTATGATGAACACTAACCCCTTCACATCCCCCTATCCTGACCACCTTCTGTACCACCGATTCCACATCCCCCTCTTCTTCATCGTCACCTCTCCTATGATGAACACTAACCCCTTCACATCCTCTATCACTGACCACCTTCTGTACCAACGCATTCCACATCCCCTCTTCTTCATTGGTCACCTCTCCCTAGGATGAACACTAAACGCCTTCACATCCCCCTCTTCTTCATCGTCACCTCTCCTATGATGAACACTAACCCCTTCACATCCTCCTCTTCTTCATCGTCACCTCTCCTATGATGAAAACTAACCCCTTCACATCCCCTATCCTGACCGCCTCCGACTGCATGTAACCTGTTTAGTTGTCGCGGCAACGACGTACTTTGCTCACGCTGTTTTCTAATTGCTGACGGAAATCGAATGGCTTCGCGTGAGCCATGCTAATAACTTTTTTTTTCCGATTTTGCAAAACCGGAGGCGTCAAACAGAAAGAGCGTGCTCGGCAGAGTCTAGATCTTGTCGTTGGTGCGCGCGCATCCCTCAACGAATTAACGAAGGCGGGTGAAGAAAAAAAAAGAAGCCTAATGAGATTAATTGCCACTTAAATTATTAATTGGCCAAAGTGTGTTTGCACTCGCGAGTAAGGAGATCATGGTGCATGAAAGCATGGTTTTAGTGAAATTGTGTGTTTGTTGGCATTGTAGTATTAGCACAGTTTCTATTTAGCTTGAGAACAACGAGTTTGCTGATGTCTGATATTCCATTCCTTTCTTTCACGCCCTCTGCGTGCTATATTCCCCAACTTCATGGCTGTTATCCCCGCTTTCACTCTGCTCACGTACAGTTGCCCACTCCACATTTTACCAAATTCTTCCATCTTCTTTCTCAAAACCTCTTTCTGATTTCTCCATTCTTCTACGTTATATAAATGTAATGAGTAACCTGGCTAAAATGAATGTGATAGTCAAGTGGATCGGGGTAGCATTTAAGTTAAATGTAATAAATAAATTAATAAAAACTTTAATAAGAATTAAATTTTAACTTGGGCGTTTGTAACACAGGCTGTAAAATGTGTTTAGTCTACATGGCTAAGTTCTTCTGCACCTGTACTGGAATAAATTATGTACGCGACCAGTTTTTCTCTATTAGTGTTGACAGGTGACTACATACACGGTTACATACTGTATAATGAGAACTTATCATGTGGTTCATCGTTCCAGTCCAAGAGACTGCGAGATTACAAACTTCAGCGGCAGCTGGCGGATGGAATGGGTTTCAATGCCCTTAATTCATGCTCACAGGTTAACCGACAACATATTCAAACATGCATGTAATGTTTATTAATGTTTGGTGACAGCTTGGGCTCAGTTTGG